CCCTCCCCCCCCCCCGCGAGCACGTACCTTCGCTCAGGGGAACATCAGAAACCATCAGACTGAACAACCCACTCCCCCCGCGCGCACGTACCTTCACTCAGGGGAACATCAGAAACCATCAGACTGAACAACCCACTCCCCCCGCGCGCACGTACCTTCGCTCAGGGGAACATCAGAAACCACCCTGCTCCACAACCCACTCCCCCCCGCGCGCACGTACCTTCGCTCAGGGGAACATCAGAAACCACCCTGCTCCACAACCCACTCCCCCCCGCGAGCACGTACCTTCGCTCAGGGGAACATCAGAAACCATCAGACTGAACAACCCACTCCCCCCGCGAGCACGTACCTTCGCTCAGTGGCAGATCGCTGGCGTTGAGCCCGTAATGCGCCGCCTCCACATCGTTCAGCAGCTTCTGGAAGTATCCTCCCTGCGTGTCATTCATGCTGTCGTTGCTGAACATGAAGCCGGCGGGGTCGTAGTTTGTCTCGCCGCCTCGCTGCTGCTCCTCCCGGCTGGCGTTTGTCATTAGGGTCAGCTCTGTAACATGCGCACAGTGACTCAGTCAGCGCTGCGCCTTAGCGATGCATGGTCTGTATAGCTAAGGTGCTCGTTTTCATAGCTAACATGCTCGTACGTATAGCGAACACGCTCATTTATATAGCCAATGTGCTGGTCTGTATAGCTAAGGTACTCATTTTCATAGCTAACACGCACAGTTACATAGCCAACATGCTGGTGTGTATAGCCAATGTGTTGGTCTGTATAGCCAATGTGCTCGTTTTTATAGCTAACATGCTCGTACGTATAGCAAACACGCTCATTTATATAGCCAACGTGCTGGTGTGTATAGCCAATGTGTTGGTCTGTATAGCCAATGTGCTGGTCAATATATGGCTAATGTGCTGGTCTGGTTTACACAGCAAGTGTGTTGGTCTATATAGCCAATGTGCTCATCTGGGAGCCAATGAGCACAGTTGTGTAGCTAATGTTCTTGCCTGTATAACTAACACACTCATCTGCATAACTAATATGATTTGTTTACCCAATGTGTTCGTCTGTATAGTCAATGTGCTAGTTCATATAGCCAACGTGCTGGTCTATATGGCTAATGTGCTGTTTAGCCGTCGTGCTTGTCTGTAAGTCAACGTTCACGGTTGTATATACATTTAATGTGCTCGCCTGTATAGCCCACGTGCTAGTTTATCTAGCCAATGTGCTAGTGTGTTTAGCTAATGTACTTGTAGCCAACATGCCTGCCTACCCACGGCCGACAGGCGACAGCGCGCGTTTACGACTAACCTGTTCGTCCGCGGGCGACACCGTCGACTCGTAGTCGCTGTGCGACACCTCTGACGCGCGCGTGCTCTCCGAATCCCCGCGCGTGCGATGCTCCTGCGTCTGCAGCGCTCCTATCTCCATCACGTCCTGCATTGGCCCGCTATACTCCAGCGGCTGCTGTTGCTGCGGGGCCGAGGCGCCCAGGTCGCTGTACGGCTGGCGATCGGACAGCAGCGCGGCAGCGGGCGGGAGGGGGACCACGGCGTCGGCGACCTCTGGCGTCTGCAAGGTCACGGAGTCGGCATCGGCGGTCGGCGGCTCGTCCACATCGGTGTGGCGGCTGTCCGCAGGCTGAGCGGCGGACGGGGCCTGCTGCTGCTGCTGCGGTGGCAGCATCACGTACTCGCCTAAGGAACACGTACACGCGGCATTAACGGAGGCACGCACGCACACATGCACCAATAACGTAGATCAAAGTCATGCACGCACGCACGCACCAACGTACACAATAACAAATAAAACTTAAAAAGTCTAATACTACATCACCACGCTGCCGCGACATCGACGCATCGCGCCTACATCAGACTACACACGCAGCACCACGCACGCACGCACGCACGCCACGCACGCACGCTAACGCACGTCACACGACGACACGCCACGACACACCCATCACTACACACACACACACACACCTGTCTCCCCATCTCTGTAATACTGAAGCCCGCTCCAGGGGTCTGAGGGAATGGCCGTCTCATTGTTATTGTTGTTGTTGTTGCTGTCTGCTTCCTTCTTCCTCTGCTCCATGCGCAGTGTGGGGTCAAACACATCCCTAGGTGCTCCCAGATCAATGTCTTGTCGCCACAGGATCTCTATGAGGTCCATATCCTGCAAGCAGATTCACTCAGGGTCAGCAAAGGTTCAGTCACTTACACGAGAAGGCAAAATCCATTGATTATTCAACATGTACTAGCCGAGCAAAGTCGGCTGTAAGAGTACATCATGAATAGATGTCACGTGTGTAATATACAACACGGGTACATGTCAATTTACAACACGTTCCAAACAATCACCCTCCAACATTAGGTATTAGGTAAAGAAAGGAGAAAAAATAACAAAGGTATTCATTGGATGCTCATTTCACGAGGATATAAAATAGAGTCGAGGCAAAGGAAGAAATGTTAGTGTGAACAAAAAAACAAGCACAAAAACCAATCTAAATTACATTGACAGTGTTGGAAATAGCAGCCCGTCCCCAAGTCTGGGACTTTTAACTGTTGAGCAGGAGCAGCTAAGTTTTATCAAATTCACTATATAGGTTGCACAATAGAACACAAAATTTTCGAAATTAAGAATGGCTAGGTTTTATGACTTATTTCCAAGACTGTTCAAGCTGTCAATCAGCTTGACAATCAGCTTTTCTCAACAATAACACAACATGGCTTCCAGCAACGACTTAGATTTCCAATCTTATATATATACAAAACCATCTACAAACCTGTGGCCATAGTACATCTGTTAACGAATAGGCTTCCCTGAGAAATGACCACACAAGAATGTCCATGAAATCGTCCAAGAGCAACAGATATACAATACCTCGCACACCAACCTATTCACTGTCTAATGACATTTCGAGAAGTACATCCAATCATTCAAATCACATTAGCAATGCACTGCTAAAATTAGGTCAAAAACTCAAGATCTCGGGTCAAATTCTTCTCTACTCAAACTCTTAGGTAAAATTAGGTTTAAATGCTCAACGCGAGCAAAACAAATCGACGCTTTTTATCCAATGGATGCCCTGCTTACTTGGTGATGCTTCATTAGGAGGCAGTCTGACCTTATAAATTGATATAAAGGTTTCCAGGTACGTAACGTCCTGTCGTACCCCAACGTCTCCTTCACTGACGACTTGCGAGCAAGCTCATGTGCTACCACCGTTCGTGGCACCGTGCCAACCAGTGAGGCTGGGACGTATTCTTACAGAATCGCAGCCCACCTATTCGCTAACGCTATCCGAACTAATCATATCGCACGATTGACATTAGGGGTGGACCAAAAACAGGTTTTACCCATCGACGGGGAAGATTTGGCGGGCACAGATGCGCAATCGCTTCAGCAGCACAATGGATGTGCAAAATTGGCACAAAATTTCCAAATACCTGGATATTCACTCGCCAGGAAGGCTCCTGCTACGCTCGCTAGTATTACCCGACTGTGCTCAGATAATCTGACTAGACGAGGCAGCGACACGATTTGCTCACCTGCACACGTGACGGTCTCAAACCGCGGCAATTGCGCGCATGCGTGGGTGCGGGTGCACTCATGCGAGCACGCGCGCCAATCTACAAATGCGCTCGCGCGCACGCGCATGCACGACAACACGTGTACACGCACGCACCAACCCACAGCCACAAAGCACACGCGCCGCACTTTGTGCAACCATAACACACTCGGTGGCACAGACGACGACGTGCCCTCCTACGTAACTTTCGGGACATTTCCCGTGGCGAAGTAAGAAGGAGAACGTACTAGCTCTTACTAAGCATGCGTGGTAAACACCCAACAAAATGCCATCAGTACAGTGTGAACCGATCTATAGAATAATATGGATCCATACACCTATACAAATAACGAGGTGCACGGGCTCGAGTTGCTGGTGCACTTCGTGAGCGAAGACCAAACGAGAGGGTAAAAAAAATGCTGCCTAATTAGCAACCCCCGAATGCAGGTCGATGCATTGCAGCAATAATTAAAATGCTCACACCTAGACAGGCATTTGTCGCCTTACAACCATCTGTTACCTGCCTGTCGATAAATGTCACTCGATTGATTCGGTTTCCGCAACCCAGGGGTAGGGCGACTCTCAACGCGTGCCAAAATATAATTTACAGACGAGTTTTTAGAGAAATTTACCGAGATAAAGACGAATAAGGCATCAGATAGCAACATGTAATAGATCAAGAAAGGCCTAGATGCTATGCATTGAGCATAGGAATACCAAATGAAGCTCTCCGCCAAAAATATGGTATGGCTAAAAAAGCAATTTATTTTCAAATCAAGATGAATAGATCTATGCAAATGCTAATACAGGAAATCCTGCCCAATTTAGCCTTTACCATTCATCATATTATATATGGGGGCAGCTATTTTCGAAAAGTGGGAATGGAATATTTTAATTATCTGAGAACTGGAAAATACCAGATGAACCTTTCGTGATTCGAGAGCAGACGGCAACCGCGACACGGAAAGCAAATTAAATAACCAGTAATTGCCGGCGAACCAAAACTGCGACTATATTTAAAAGGAAACTTGGAAACGGTATAATTTGTTACCTGGAAAACTGGGAATGGACCCCCTTTCCCGTTCCCCGTTTCTTAACCGCTCACCTGACTGTCACCTCGATCGAAACGGAATCCACACGAAAGTCTCTGCACCGCGCAGCAACTGTGCGCGCGAGTTTAATTCTCGTTAAAGCGTGCACCACTTTCAATGACCTAATCACCGCGTTTATAAAGTACCTCCCCCAATAACGCCAACAGCTACACGCCGATTCCGCCGCATCCATCCACCGTCAGGTCGGTCGAGCTACCTACCCATGCCACCACCGACGCACCACACCCTACGGCAAAAGAATGCTGTGCCGCCAGCGAGCGGCTTAGCCGCAAACAAAACGCACCCAAGGTGCCCCCTAGTGTCCGTAATTACTAATAGAAAAAACGTGTGCCGCACCCGGGCCGCGTGTTTAATGATGCCAGACTAAGCCGGCTCGATGCGCCCCGCGTGAGGATAGAGAATACAACTACTTGAAAGACGGGACACAGAACTGCTAGTAAGAAGATCCCTTGTTGTCAACCACTCCCCCCTTCCCCAGATCCCACCGATATCAGCATCAGTGCACGGCACAGCGAGCCAATTACCCAGGGGTAGAAATGAACTTTTGAACACGGGAGTCCGCAGTAAAATAATGAAGTCCGCAGTCTGAGGTTCAAAATTAAAGATATTAACAATAACGTGCTTATTTTGAAGATTCAGGGGTAGAAATTAACTTTTGAACATGGAGTCCAACCTACCCTCAAAAAGAGGGAGTCCGCAGTAAAATGATGGAGTCCGCAGTCAAAGGTTCAAAATTAAAGATATTAACAATAACGCATACGTGTGCTTCTTTTTAAGATTCATGCGGTTGCACGTCTGCCAAATTTTCTTTGGACATAAATTGCTCAAACAATTTCGCTACGGGGGACAGCTTCTATTGCACAATCCCCCCCCCCAACTTCTCGAAGCTCGAGGCGTAAAAGCAGTTATGCATACATACAATCATAATATGCTGCAGGTTGGAATGCTAGGTATCTGTAGGAGGAACTGGCTAATTCCTCCGCATGCACGCATTGCCGTGAGTCGAATGACGCCACCGATGGCCTCATTCAATGCACTTTGAATGCAAAACGCACACGCATTCACTACGGGAGACAGCTTCTATAGCACACTCCCCCCCACCCTCAACTTCTCGAAACTCGAGGCCTAAAAGCAGTCATGCATACTTACAATCATAATGATGCAGGTCGGAATCCTAGGGCAAATCATAGGCATGTTGTAAGTTTCTTTTTGTTAGGTGTTTGCTTCTGCAATTTGGAATTGCCCCTAGGTATCTGTAGGAGGAACTGGCTAATTCTTCTGCATGCACGCATCGCCATGAGTCGAGTGGCGCCACCAATAACCTCAGCTTAGTTTCAGGATCCTAATCACACCCGGATCCTTTTAACGCTAACCCCTAATCTAACCCTAATCCAGATCGGATGGTTACAAAATAGACTCGACTCATTCAATGCACTTTGAACGCAAAACGCACACGCATTCGCTACGGGAGACAGCTTCTATTGCACAATCTCCACCCCCCCCCCAACTTCTCAAAACTCGAGGCCTAAAAGCAGTCATGCATACATACAGTCATAATGCTGCAGGTTGGAATCCTCTAGGTATCTGTAGGAGGAACTGGCTAATTACTTTTAATAGATGTACTTCAGTTTGGTCGAGTCCTACCACAAGGATGCAACCGACAGCATTTGAGTGCGGGAGTTACAATAATAATCGCGTCGTCACGAAATCGGAAATGAAAATACTGAGTGTTGGATCAACATGGCCTGCTTCATTCTTTCATTACATGACCTGACCATGCATTGTCTATTGCATGTACCTACTTTAAACTTTTTCAGGCCAGATATTAGCACAATTGCATAAGTAAGCACTCGGTTGTGTCCCAGCGAGATGACCTAGAGTTGCTCTCAAAAGACTTTCTCACTTACTATAGCACAATACAGCCTTTACGGGGTACATTGGTAGGAAAATCAAAAGGAAATTCACATTTTCCCGTCATCCCTATAGTCGCACGCAAAATCTTTGTGAGCAGTAGAAAATTATATTAAAAAAGATGTACCATCCCGCACGATTATGACCGAGTCGATGAGTTACGGCAAACACAAAATATTTCGGCAGTCGCCTGCGTACTTAGCGGCAAGACATATATATACATGTAGGTCTGGTGAGTGATACTAATGCGACACAGGAATCAAACCAGAATATTATCTCCGCCATTCCAAGAAGTTACAGACTTGCCCAGAAGCTGCATTGTCGTTCGCTACGACTAAGCACACTCAGATAAATGATCACCAATCGCAACATTTTTCCTCTGGTTATGAATCTTCTTTTGGGAAGTTTTTTCCAGTGCTGTTGTCGTAAGAAAAAACAGCATAAATGTGCCTCACACTATTAGCCACTTGCGCTCCAGTTTACCACTACACTGAAGTCTTATAAGAGAAAAAAACAAATGTGACAGACCATATTAAATGTTTCTGGCAACATCATCATTAGCTCCTGAAATGCCAGATGGCATAGATCAAAAATGCTGTGAGGCAAGAATTCGCTTCATATTTGCATAGGCCGGCTCACGGATCCATAGCTGCCAGCAAACAGTCCGGAATTTTAGCGGGGGACACAGAGGGATTTGGGACGTGGGAGGAACTCGCGACTTAGATAGGAGGTCGTACAGATGGGGGGGTGACAGCAAAGCTTTTGATTTCCGTTTCCATTTCCGTGTGGTCTTAGGCGTTTTCACTATAAGTTCCAAACATAAAAAGTTCCAAACATAATAAAAATTGGACCATTATTTAATGGAAAATTTGATAAAATAGTGATACGAAATAGTACGCGGATTCTGCGCCCAGTTATCTCTTTCAAATCATACGCTGTTTAACAGTCGCCATTCGCTGCATTTCCTCGGAGCTCTGCCCACTTTAAAAATAGTGCTAGCATTGGGGCAGTGGTATCCTGAATGTACAAACGAGTTAGTATTTCGATTTTCGATGACAGCAGTAAGGCGAAAATGCAGCATTTGAATACAGCTTACTTCATTAGCATTATATATAGTATCTAATCATTTGCTGAGAGCTTCTTTTTGTATATATAAACAATTAATACATTATCTGGCATCTCTATCATCTATGTGACCTTGCCTTATATCACATGCACCCCTAGTCCACAAATGCAGACGTTATAACTCCGCTTTGCTAATCTGAGGGTGCGGGTTTATCATCACCCCCATTACTGGGGTCTGCGTCGGCTTGGACTAATGCACCCCTACCACTACAATCTCCTACTGCCATTGTCATTGTCAGTATCAGGAACTAGCTAAAGTAAATTGCTTGCTATATAAGCAGGGGTTGTCTAGTATAGGGGTATTCTAACCCTAGCATTGTAGCAATACCGTTTCTTTGAGCTATCACTCAGGTGATACAATTGTATACACACCTACGAATACTTTTATTACTACAAGTACATGTTACAATAATTTATACTAGTAGTAGTAGTAGTAGTACTACTACTACTACTACTACTACTATTAGTACTAGCACTAGTACTAGTACTAGTTACTACTACTTGTTACTAGTACTACTACTGTTACTAGTACTAGTACTACTAGACTACTAGTACTAGTACTACTACTACTAGTTACTACTATAGTACTAGAGCTACTAGTACTACTACTAATACTATATTATATAGTATAGTACTATTATACTAGCTCCAAGAAAGGGTCTTTGCTAGGGTTAGAAGTCCTGTGTAAACACAATTTGTTGTGTAGTCGAGTAAACAGTGTTTATGGGGACACGACCATCTCTGTTGACCTGTGACGCAAGCATTCCCAATACGCATAGCGAGCGCTGACGCGTTAACAAGAAAAATAATCGCGAACTTGGAAACAATGGAGTTTGTGGGTTATAGCTAGACTGGTACCCATTCGCCACCTTCACTGCGGCAAGTATCCTTCGCTACACTGAAGTTAGTTAGTGTAGCGTGTGGAACTGTCGACCGGGGAGCAGTCTAGGTTATAGCCGGCCTAGCCACACCGTCTGCAGGAAGTCATAATGAAATGCTATGCATATAGCCTCGTTGCACCATCTATCGCACGCCATATGTACTACACTGATGTACACTGATGTACAGTCATGTCAACAAAAAAGTTAAACTCCGTTTTTTACAGCAAACTAAAGCGCGCCGAATAGCGAACTTCGAATTACGAGCATTTCTAGGAAATGTCAAGCTACCTGGGTGGTCAAACCCGTCGTGCAATGGCCAGAACTGCGCAATTCAGCGATTGCACAGCTTTTGCCTCTATAGTGGACCCGTTGATTGCTATTCAATCAGTGCAGCGTAGTTGTGTTAGTGTGTCGTTACGCGGCATTTTTCGCGCTTCGCGCGATATCCGGGCTGCCGATCGTCTAGCATAGCGTACTAGTTAGCAAAACAAAAATAAACTTATGGTGTAGCCGCTGCAAAACCAAGGGTAAAAAAATGCTTATTTAACATCAAATGTAAAAAAATATCCTATTAATCACGCAGTTGCCAACTTTATCGCTTTCTTTTACGAATACGGCCTATCCATATTGACAAGTTTTCGAATGACCTAAACACACGACTCATTATTACGCAAAATTTTTTAGCAGATTAAAGCGATTTCATGGGATTGGACTGAACAATCATATCAGAGAATTAGAACGAAACGAAAGATTGAAGCAGGACTCAAAATAAACCAGCACGCAGTACTAACCTCAACAGTCTTCAGTAATATTATATATTAGATCTTCATGTGGTAACCAAGTAATCCCAACTAAGCCACGACTACATGTGGCTAGCAGAAGAGGAAACTAATGGAAGAGGGATGCGTCAAACTTATGGATGCCCTCTTACCATACGACCAGCAAAGGAGTGCAGAAGAAGCCAAACTTGCAGCAGCCTTAGCAAAAAAGAACGCTCCATCTTAGCGTGTTGGTAGCACAGTGGTTAGCCAGACTGCGTGATTATGCCTTAAAAACCTCTCTTCTTTTAAAACAGTTCTCACAAAGAAAGGTATTTATAGGAGCGAGGGGTCGCGGCATGTGTAAGGTGAAATGTCGTAGACGTACTGCACAAAGAGAGTGAAACCGAAGTGCACGTTATATTTTTAAAGGCGCATTCTACGTAAACAAACACAAACATAACTTTCGGCGCCGTCGATTGGATAGCATATGCAGAGGAGGAAAATCAAAAGCACTGATCTCTCCAAGGGGTGTCCCACAGCAACATCTGAGGGCAGCATGAACTTCCTCCCAGCAAATTACAAACACACTGTAAGCGCATGAGGCCGATTCATTCCAACCAGATGACCAACAACATATCTGCCTCCCATTCACACTCATGAACTTCTTTGCCGTGTTACCATGGCAACAAGGATGCTAGAGCGCATCGAGGTAATGGGCCTGCATTCCGTCACGTTTTTTTTTTGCAGTTGCGGATTCTTTACCTCGCAGATACACCAACCAAGTTAACTCATCTAGCACTTTGGCTTTGCCGCATTTATTTGCCCTCGCAAAAATCACAGCATACTGTTTCCAAGTAAACATTCAGCGAACGCGCACATACACACCTAGTCTATCACCCCATGCCCACATGCAAAATGGATCAACAAACTCATCCACCTACACTAAAACTCAACTGATGTTAGATTACGGCACGTTTTAAAAAAAACAGAAACTTCAACAACATGAACGACTACTGCTCTACCTCTTTCGTGAGATCGCTATTCGGAGACACGGCGCCGAGCGCGGTCGCCTCCCGCGATCCGTCGTCGTGGTTACCGCCGTCGTCGTCCTGCGCGGCGGTCGGCTGCGCGGGGACGCTCTCCTCCTGCGGCGTCCCGCCCGCGCCGCCGCCCCCCGCCTCGGTGAGATTCTCGGGAACGTTGAGCAGCAGCGCGACGAAGTCGTTCTGCATCGGGAGCGGCGCGCGGAAACGCTCGTACGCGCCGAGACGCTGCAGCTCGCGCAGCATCGGCGACGCGTCGCGATCCACGCTCTTTGGGTGCGCCGCGTAGCCGTCGATCGCGCCGCCGCCGCGGTGCCGCGCGCTTGCGTACAGCGACATCCCGCCGACGCGTGCTTCGCCGTACGCGGGCACGAAGATGTCGTCCATGTCGCCGTAGATGTCGAGGTCAATGCGCAGGAGGCTGAGGACGATTGCGATCTGGACGAGGCCGTCCGTGAAGTAGCGCTTCATTGGCAGCAGCATCTTGGCGGTCGGCGCGCGAGCGAATGTTGCTGCAGACTGGACGGCCGGCGAAGACTCGCCTCTCGCTGGCGGTGGTGGTGCGACACCTGCGGGTTTTGCTCGCCAGGCGTTTTTGGCTATAGACGAAGATCAGCAATCAGCCATCGACGCTTTAATCTTTCCTCGTCACCAGAACTAGGTACGTATTGATGAGCGTTCCAGCACAGTGTGTGCGTGCGCGCAACCACAGCACAATCGTGTCTTGGATAGAGCTCTAGTGTTACACACAGTCAAAAATAAGCAGTTACTGAGCTCGGCTTAAGGCTTAGAAAATGATGAAGTCCTCAGTATCCAGGCACTGTAGATACGTGTACACGTAGACACGAGCTATTGATTCGACAGCATATATATTCAGTAAACTGGCAGTTCTCTCAGTCACGTACTATATACGCTACTTGCCCGTGGACTACGGGTGGCGACGATCCAAGTTTCCACAAACACGCACTCGTGATGCTAGGCTCGCATGAAAGTCAAAAACCTGATATGAGGCATATAAGCTTACAGCTTTCTGACTGCAGTGCATGTGATTCCAGCCGGTGAGTCATGTGCTGCGTGTTCCATGTGTGCATACATACACTCAGTAAGGCATTGCACCATAAGTTCTAGAATGTTCTCTGAAAACCCTCTGCTGACGACGTAGCTGCTAGGACATTGCCAATGACAAAGATTATTCATATTAGATATACATAAAACAGGTAAGGATTTGTTAACAAATTACTACAGCAAATCTTCCTGGCTAGACTTTGTAATAAACCACACCATGCAGGGCAGTGTGATTAGATCTGGTACAGTGGTAGTCGTACCAGTAGAGGTATAGAAGTTCTACCTCTCTTCTAGTGGTTGTGTTTACTTCTGAATTCTCACGTATATTCATGAAGGAGTAACACATAATCACACAACGCGTTAACTTCTACTTCTACTTCTATACTGGACAGTCCGTAAGGAATAAACGTCCAGGGCTATAGCTAGCCATGGTGTGTGTGACCTAGCTTGGGTACAGCGGTTAAGTTTCACTTCACCGAACCAAAAGCTAGTGTTTCAGCTATTTCTATAATTTAACAAATCGTACTAAATTACAGCTTATTATAAATCTTTTGCTTTGAACCACACTATAAACTGCGTAGGATTATTCACAAATACTAGCAACAATAAAATTTCGTTGTACGGCCACCACGTGGACGACAATGGCCAAACACAAAGAAGCAAAGGCAGGACGCTAACTCATAACTGTTTAACATTCGTCATACTCATACTCATAGCAACTAGCCAAAATAAACACGTACCTATGAAAGCCTAGTGCTGATGGTAGACACGCCTTTAGCTGCATTCACTGCTTTCAACTGACACAATCAATACTCTCCTCTAAGTTCTAACGCCGTCTTTACGTGATGAGCAGTGTGTAATGACAAACAAAGACACTCACTCAAAACCACGTCTAGTGATTGGTATATATGGCTCCCAATTCCACGAATCGCCGTCTCAGACAAATGCAAGTAACTCTGACACAACTTCCTGAACTAGGGGAGGATACTGCTGCCGTTTGACAACACGGTCGCAACTTTGTCGCGCTTTACTAGAAGCAACTAACCAGTTTAAATTACAAATCGCTAACACGCTAGTATGCTGCAATGAAAAAATATCGGCGAATGATTCAGCACCTGGCCTTTTCCGATGACGTCATCAAGACTTGCGCTTGGTCTGCGCGCGCTTGCATCACATCCGGTGCGCACGTGCTTGAACTTTGCATGACCCAGTGTATCCGAAATACATGATGAAGAGTAAATAAAAACAATTTCAATTTGCTTGTATTTACTCCTAATAGATACATAATTTGTTTATTATGTACTTACGGTACTATACATACTGCGCGTAGGTTCGTGAAACATCACTACATCATGCAACCATGCGCACCAGCCAGATTTGAGAGCACATGCATGCACAATCTTTACAGTTTACTAAACGTCGATCACACGTGACACAGCAGTGCAGTACATACGTGTATAGGAATAAGCGAGTAAAATTCCTGGGGGGAAAGTATGACGAAGAACAGTTATTGATAAATAGAGACCGGGAAGACAGCGAATCATGGAACGTTACAATACGGTGGCGAAAATCATTATAAAAGGCAGCACAATCAGATGGAGAAAGGGGATGGTGAATAAAAGCACACTAGAGCTATATAAAGGAAAAACATTTCCTAAACAAGAAACCTTTTACAATAATAATAAAATCGGCAGTAAGCTGCTGTACAAATGTAGAGCGGGATGCCTCCCCGTAAATAAAAGAACCAGGAGATGGTTAGGGGAAGAAAATTGCACTGTGTGCAATTAGAGAGAACAATAAGACCTAACCTGACCTAAAGCATTTCCTGTTAGTTTGCCCGGCATACAAACACCTAAGAAAGATCATGTGGGACAGGCTCCAAGAAGTGGGGGTCACCCCTGCACAGCTGGAGGAAAGGCATGTGATGCTCACCATCTTGGGGCTAAATGAACATAGTTATTGGGATTGGGTAGAGCAGGTTAAACGTTTCTTAGAATCAGCATGGAAGCTCCGGAACAAAATCTCCCGGAAAAGTGAAATTACCGGGGGAAATTAAAACTATCAAAAATAAAAAGGGAAACACGCACCGATCTAAAAGTTTCCGTTTATACATACATATCGAATACACGAAGTGAGAAGGCCGTGTACTGTAGCATATACTGTTAGTTCTACTGTACCTCCCTGAGTTTGTCGCGATACCGCAAAACTATAACAATTTCTGTCAATTATACAATCGCAGTAGTATAGATGTTTGGAACAGAATTATAACAGTCGCACATAATACATGCATATATACAGATGTTCTATTGCATTTTTTTTAAACTAATATTATCAGTATTGCAGCATCTCTCGATCATTATTAATTGCTAACCATCCAAAAACACTGGTGATACACTGCTATTCTTAACTTAACTTAAATATAATAATATATATATATACTATCATATAGTAATTATATCCTTAATATATATATATATATATATACAAATTTTAACAATTTTTGTAAAACGAATACATATCACAACATAGAACATAGTTGAATGCGAATTTTGCTGATGAACCAAATAAATGAAAAGCGGACAGAGAAGAAATGGCTCTGATGGGGGATGGAATCGAGGGGGCGGCGGCAACTGTTGGAGAGCCACCGATGGCACTGAACGCAAGACAGCAATCTCGAGCATGATCTACGCACCGGAGTCTGCATGAAAGTGAGAATTAAGCAACTTACCTGCATGATCGCCCCATTGCTGCCGTTCAACATTTCGCCGGTTGGAACCTCGACGTCCGTCGTCATGTTCTCGATCGCTGAACAACACTAATAGTAATACTAATAGTCACTATAACTCAGCAGTATCCGCCTCCTAACTTCACACAACACACCGTCTCGATCGACGATCCAACCTTACGTCTAATATCAGATAAATTTATTACTGAATCGAAGCGTTATCGAGCAATTTCCGCACGAACCTTACCCTTTCACTAGCTTCAAATAGCTAATCGCAAACGAGTACGCGCGTGTATAATGCCTATCGTCGTCTGCTGCTCTACACGCGCGTCCCTGGCGTTCGTACGTGTGGATATGTAAACAATGCAGTCTAGTCGGAAAATCAGATTGGCTCGCCAGCTGCAGTCATCAGCGTTCATGTGCAGTTAGGTGGTGCCATCTTTAGGGCGAGTTATGTGTAAAAACTCTGTACATTAACGTTTTACTGTATTAAGTTATAATATCGAATATTACCTGAAATATGAGTACCTTTGTAGCTTCGCAGTCTTATTCTAGTGTATCAATTAAAAAATAAATACAAAGAAGCGATATGAATCTAAAAGATATGTTTTAAAGCGGTATTTAGTCCCTCGTACTAATATATGCAGGAGTAAAATAATATAGGATATAGGATATAGGATATAATATATAATCCTATATTATCTTACTCCTGATATATGTAGTAGGGTCCTCAGATCCTGCCATACGGATTTTGCCTTCTATTACTAATCGTTGAATATAATCAATTTGCGCACCAGATGGCAGCAGCATGTAAATAAATAGTAGCAAATACCGTCTACCGTATACGGTGGTTGATGCTTGATGCAGACGGGGTCGTTGTCATATCAGGTACTACAGATATGTACCCGAGGTAATTTTAGGTTGTTTAGTGTTATGTTTTTATTTTTATATGAGGTATATTTAGGGTTAGGGTTAGTGTTAGGGTTAGGGTACACTTCTGTAGCACAAGTCTGGTACACTTTGTGTATACATATATGTACCTCGGGTACATATCTGTAGTACCTGATACGACAACGACCCCTTGAGCATTAGTGATAGTAGTAGAAGATTGCAATAACAATAGGCAGAAAATGTGGAATAATAATAAGAAGAAGACGAAGAAGGAAGAAGAATAAAAAGTGTAGTTTCACAGTCTTGTTTTAGTGTATCAATACAAAATTAACGTCAAGAGCGATATACATATAAAAAGAAGTGTTTTAAAGCGGTATTTGGGCTCTCATACTGATATATTTAGCGCTTGATTACCCGACGTCCATCGAGACTCCGTCGGCAATGCACAGTTTTGACCGCTGCCTTAACCTGCAAAAAACCTTAACGAACAAACTACGATGGGATATAGGGAGAGCGGATGCGTTGTCGACACCGTGGGGTGATGATCTTAGCTGTGATTCAGCAGGTAGTAAACCACGGACGGAGGCGGTGGGGTCGTTCCTGCAGATTCAGATGAATCACATTGTATAGTGGGTCGCGTGAATCAGTAGGGTGACGTGCGCCATCATTCTAATACAGCAACGGTTGAAGCCGACAAACGATAAACGCAGTCGTTTACCCAACTTATTCGTGCGATATTTTTTTAACTGACTCGATAGCTTTGTTTTCTTCTTGGTCTTTGTCGGCGTCTTCTTGTTCTTCTTCTTGTTCTTTTTCTTCTTCGTCTTCGTATTCTTCGTCGTCTTCTTCTTCTTCTTCTTCTCTTCTTCTTCTTCTTCTTCTTTTCTTCTTCTTCTCCTCCTTCTTCTTCTTCTTCTTCTTCTTCTTCTTCTTTCTTCTTTTCTCTTCTTCTTCTTCTCCGTCTTCTTCGGTTCTTACTTCTTTTTCTTCGTTCTTCTTCTTCTTCCTTCTTCTTCTCTTCTTCTTCTTTTGTCTTGCTTCTTTCTTCTTCTTCTTTTCTTCTTCTTAGTCTTCTGTCGGCGTCTTCTTCTTCTTACTTATTATCTATTAATTTTTTCCTTATTTCGCCGTCTTCTTCTTGTGCTTTTTACATTTTCATGCCTATTGTTATATTGCAATCTTCTACTTACTATCAACAAGGGGGGTCAATATATTAGCAGCAAGAGATATGCGACCGTAATCTCCCGTCACCGGTCTTGGAATAGTGAGACACCCCTAACTAAGGGCTCATCAACACCGTGCTACACTATGGACTGTCTTCGCTACCATTTATTCATATGCCTGCTGCCAATACTGGTGCCCAAATTTGATTATATATACACCACACGAGATTATTCTGTAAAAGGCAGACAATCACATATCGCACAGAACCCTAATATATATATATATATATATATATATATATATATATATAATATTATATATATACAGCCGCGTAGCCAGCTTTGTATATGGGGGGGGTTCGTTTTTCAATTGTTACGGCACATGCAGGCAGGGGCGTGTACAGGATTGTACCAGGTGGGCGGTCTACGAAACCCGAAGTTGCCGAGCACTGCGAAGGGTCGGGGTCTGGTGCTTTCTTCCTGTCCCGCGCAAAATTCATCTTAAAACTTTTACACGTCCCTCCAGATGCGTTTCTGCCGCAGCAAGGTGGGGTCCGGCGAACTCCCTGTACCCCCCCTGTACACGCCCCTGCTCTGTGGACGCGCAAGCACCAGGCTGGAGATGCAAGGCTGAGCCGATAGCGGAGGGGTGAGGCTGTGCGGGAGCGGGGTCTCACTTTCACGCTCCCGCACGATGGAATTTTGCAGATTATTACACTAAATTAGGAGCACCTGACGGTGAAATCTTGCAAATTTAAAAAAAAAATAATTTTTGGCTGGCGGCTAGGGGAGGTTCGT